GAGTGCTAAGGCAGCTTGCTGTTAGGGTGGAGAGATGAGAGATTGAGAAATGGAGAAAAACAAAAAGGAAAATAAAAAGAAAAGGGGTAAAAGAAAAAAATGAATAAATAAAATTCAGAGGGAAAAGAAAAAAGCCCCCAGGAATCCCACTGGTACTGCTGCTAGGACTGAGGAAGTTGCTCCCAGGCCGTGAAGTACAAACAGTAGAGGTGTCACACAGCACCGGGTATTCAGGAGTCAGGAAGAGAAGGTAAGTATAGCAAGATGAGAAACTGGAAATGAAGAAAGACAAAAAGGAAGAAAGAGAGGGAAGAAAACAAAAGAAAGAAATCAAAAAACAAAACCAAAAATAAGAAAAAAAAATGCTCCCAGGGATGTCACTGTGCGTCTGTGCAGAGTAAGGGAGTAGCTCCCATGCTGTGCAGTACTGCCCGGCTAGAAGGGGCTCCCAAGCCAAGAAAAGAAAAAGGAATCAAACAAATCAAAACAGAAGAAATCAGGGGGGCCAAGATGGCGGAGTATTCAGACGCTTCCAGTGGACCCTCTTACAACAAAGACCCAAATAAACAAGTGAATCAATTATATATGACAGTCTAAGAGCCCTGAACAACTAAGGCAAAGTTAGGGAACTGGACTGAGTGGCAGGGGGAGGGAGAAACAGTTCGGAAGCAGCGAGGAGTTCCCAAACCTGACCAGCCGAGAGCCTGAGCCCTTCAGTCCTGATCAGCTCATGGGCGAGCTGTGAGGCAGGCAAGCAGCAGTGCTTGGGAGGTGCATTTTCCGCACTGGGAGAGACCCAGCACCAGAGAGTCTACTCAGCCACCCAGAACAAGTGAGAAGCAGCCCTGGATCGGCGAAAGATAAGTACTTGTATATGGCCTACCGCACGGCTCAAAAACATCCCCCTTAGGGAAAAACCTCTCTCCCATTTACTTCTCCACTCCCTGCTCTGCACTGGGTCCCGGACCGGCTTCAGCAATTGCTGAGTCTCCTGGGCCGGAAGTAGGATCCATCACATGCCCTGAGCCAATCTCCCTGCCTTGGAGCATGAACAAATTAACAAACAGGAAAAAATAAACTGCCAGCTCCCCTAAGCCAGGAGCCCAGGGTAGGCACAGCTCCTTTGCCTAGGCACAGGCATGAGGGATCCATGGAGTTTTGAGTGCCTTTCCCCCTGCAGAGACTTGTGTGGGCCCATTTCAACAGCATAGCCTCTCATTACCACAGTACAACAGGGTATATACCTGAAGTCTAACTTCAACTGTTTTAGCTGTGAAGTGGCAGGTTCGTGACATTTGACACTGCTCTGCCCATTAAGCAGAGTCTTCACCTACCCACATCAGGGGCCTGAGGATTGGTGGCTCCACCCATGCCACCTAGCCACCTGTGATAGGGGCCCATGAATAAGAGGTGTCCCCAAGTCCTTACAACCACCAGCATTAGCTGCTCATAGTCTGGCTGCAAAACCTGCACACCTACGCACACTAGGGAACAGGGACACGCCTTCATCCTGGACACTCGGCGGCGGCCGTCAGCTGCCTGCCTTGCTCAGAGTGCGTCCCCCTGCTGCAGCCAGATGCCTGTGCCTACACCAATCACCCATGCCTGTCTAGCACTGTGAGAGCCTATACCACACGCTTGGTGGCTATCTACCTGGGCACTTGAGCTGAATCCATACAGGAGGAGTGGGCAGACTCCTAAGCTCACATACCTAGTACCAGATCTAACGACCTGGTGACAGGACATTAGAACTTCAAAGGTGCCAATAATCAAACTAGCTCATACGAGCAGCCTGTTTGGGCATATCAAAACAAAACAAGAAGCTAGCACATGGTAAGCAACATAAAATAAATAAATATAATAACTTATTGATGGCTTGGAGACAACAGTTAATATCAAATCACATAAAGAGGCAGTCCATGATGGCTTCAGGAAGCCCCCAAAATAAAGAATCTAGAAATTTTCCAGAGCAGGAAAATTTCTTGGAATTACTGGAGGCAGAATACAAAAGATTAATATACAGAACTCTTCAGGAAATTAAGCAAAACGCAGAACACGCAATAGAGAAAATTCAAAAGATTAGAGAAGAGCATAATGACAAATTTAACAGGCTGCAAGAATCCATAGAGAGACAGCAATCAGAAATTGAGAAGATGAACAATAAAATTTCAGAATTAGACAACTCAACAGAAAGTTATAGAAGCAGAATTGAGGCAATGGAAGCCAGAATTAGTGAGATTGAAGATAAAGCACTTGACGCCAACTTATGTGAGGAAAAATCAGATAAAAGGATATTAAAAAAAAAGAAGAAACCCTAAGAATTATGTGGGGCTCTATGAAGAGGAATAACCTATGAGTGATTGGAGGACCAGAAGAGGTGGGGATAACAGAAAACACAGAATTGTTGAAGATTTGTTGTTAGAAAACTTCCCTGATATCGTAAAAGATGGCAAGATATCTATCCAAGATGCTCATTGAACCCCACATAAGGTAGATCCCGAAAGAAAGTCACCAAGACATAATCAAACTTGCCAAAACCAAAGACAAAGAGATAATTTTAAGAGCAGCTAGGGATAAACGAAAAGTCATCTACAAAGGAGAGTCAGTAAGAATAAGCTTGGACTACTCAGCAGAAACCATGCAGGCAAGAAGGCAATGGGATGATGTATATAAAGCCTTGAAGGAAAACAACTGCCAGCCAAGAATTATATATCCAGCAAAACTGTCTCTCAAATATGATGGCGAAATTAGGGCATTTCCAGATAAACAGAAGTTTAGGGAATTTGCAAAAACCAAATCAAAATTACAAGAAATACTAAAGAGAGTCCTCTGCTTATTAAATCAGTAACATCAGATAACAACCCAAGACTAGAACACAGGACAGAGCAACCAGATATCAACCCAGAGAGGGAAGTCACAAAAATACATCAAAGCTAAAACACTGAAAATAGGGAAACAGATGTCAGTATGTAAAAGATGACAACATTAAAACAAAAAAGAGGGACTTAAAAAATGTAGACATAGATTTTTCATATGAAGAGGAAGTCAAGGCAATATAAACAAATAAAAGACTGGTATAAACTTAGAAAACTAGGGGTAAATATTAAGGTAACCACAAAGGAAACTAACAATCCTCCAATCGAAAATAAAAAACTAGAAAAATATAAAGACTCAGCAAACACAAAATCAACAACAATGAAAAAGGTGAAAAGAAAATCCATAAAGAAAAACGACTCAGCATAGAAAATTAAGTGGAACAAAGAAACTGAACAACGCATAAAAAAAGACATCAGTATGACAGCACTAAACTCATACCTGTCAATAATTACGCTGAATGTAAATTGACTAAATGCACTAATAAAGAGAGAGTGGCAAATTGGATTAAAAAAACACAATCCATCTATATGCTGCCTACAAGAGACACACCTTTAGACTCAAAGACACAAACAAACTAAACCTCAAAGGATGGAAAATAATATATCAAGCAAACAACACTCAAAAAAGAGCAGGAGTGGCAATATTAATCTCTGACAAAACAGACTTTAAAGTAAAATCCACCACAAAGGATAAGTAAGGTCGCTATATAATGATCAAAACATAACGAACAAACAAACAAACAAAATCCTGGGGGTCCCACCAGCCTGGCAGCACGGGCCGGGAAGCATTTTCACAGTCTTTCAGGAAGAAGTAAAGATGGTACACGGAGCCAGGTATTTGAGAGAAAGGAGGGGAAGGTGGTGAGCGGTAAGGAAGAAATCTAAAGAAGCAGAAAAAAAGCAACAGCAGCAGCAACAGATGGCACTCAGGTAGCCGGCCAGTGCGGGCAGGTGGAATCCAAGCGACACCAGGGTGAAGTCAGTGCTTCCCAGCCAAGAGTCTGTAGCTGAAGGAAGCAGAGGAGGCCAAGTGGGCGTGCTGAAGGCTGGGGGATGGTAAAGCATATGTCACTGGTTAGTGGTTGTTCTGTCTCCTGCTAGAAACTCGGTGAAGCTGCTTTCTCGTACCCCCTGTTTGCCAGTCTCCGATAGGAGTACAAGATGGCGGATCCGTGCTGCAGTAGCTGATAGAGGACCTCTGCATGTATCTCTTTCACTCTCTGTTCTCAGTCAGTTTCTTATTCCATTCAGTGCTTGGCTGAGTTCTTTATCTCTTCATTTGATGCTAGGGTTTCAGGATTGACGTGTGTCTCTGTTTGACTTAGTTTTTTGGATCTTTTCTGTGGAGGGACAGCGTGGTGCTTCTGTCTATAGCGCCATGTTGCCTGGAAGTCCTTTTAATATTTTCAACAAACATCTGTTGATTGATTATTAGGTATCAAGAAATATGCTAGGCTGTGAGTACATAGTGGTAGATACAACAGACATGATCCCCGCCTGCATGGAGCTTATTTCTGGTGAAGTTCAAGGGTGAATGCCTACCAATTATGCTGTCAGTTATGATATATAATGATGACAATGCTTCCTTCCCTTTAGTGACTGCTTAATATATGCTACAGTCTATGCTAAGCACTTTACCTACATGATTTTACTTAATACGTATTCCAAAAATACCAGTAGAAGGAATTTAGGTCATTTTTTTTACCTTTTTAATATATAAGGAATCTGAAACACAAGCAAGTTTAATCCATTTGTGCTAACAAAGTTACATCCAAAGCAAGTGACGGAAGCAGGACAGGGTCTGGTGGTTCCTAATCCAGTGATCTGTCGCCGTACTACACTGCTTCTTTAGAAGGGAACAGGAACCTCCGTTAAGGGGATTCTAGGGCATTTTTTTGGTGGTGATCCCTAATAAAAATAAGGATTTTATATAAATATCAATAACAGATAATGGACATGACAAAGACAACTTCCCAAGACAGGAGATCACTGAGCAAGTGAGTAGCTGGGCACTCCTGTTTAATCATTCCAGTAAATGTTTATTAAAACAAATGTCTATCTTTATATTCTATAGTGCATTAAACTCTGATGTCTGTAGTTGATTTCTGTGCTTGTCTCTAACAGACAAAAATTGGATCAGGAAAATTGATGGGACCCAAAGGAGTTTCCGTGGACCGCAATGGGCACATCATTGTGGTGGACAACAAAGCGTGCTGTGTGTTTATCTTCCAGCCAAACGGGAAGATAGTCACCAGGTTTGGTAGCCGAGGAAATGGGGACAGGCAGTTTGCAGGTACACTCGATGGTAATATGTAAACCCCCTTTTCTATGCTTCTTCTGCTCACGTTTGCATGATTGGAGCATGTTGAAGACGCCACATCCCCAGCGTGTTTGCTGGCTTTGGGAAAGATGCTGGGGATGAAGTCTAAGTGAAAGCATGGTTAGATGCTTCTCAGTTACTCCACTGGCAGTAAGTTGAACTGAAATCCATGCGTGGTTTTTAGTGGTGGCAGTTTACAACTAAGAAGTCTACTCCTAGGATATTAATATTAATTAAAATATGGATTTTGGTGTAAAATACTGTTCTTTTTAAAATAGAAAATGTTTGAGGAACAATGGAGTAACTCCTGTTCCCACATAGCTGCATTTGCCTTCAAAGAGACTCTGTGTGAGGATTTTTGACCTTTCTAGGTGATTATAAGAGAGCAGGAGCTGAGAATATTTGATGTGTACCAGAAGGGTCGTCTCTTTTCCTTCCCTTTTTGGTGTACCACTTTGCAATCACAAGCTTACTTAGGTTCTCATATCTGTAAGCAGAGGCTGAATGAGTTAAGTTTTCTTTGTAAAAGGATCCTATTTGTGTTTAACATTAATCTGCACAGTCTTTCTTTGTGCTTTGTCTCCAGTCCCGCCAAGTTCTGAATGTCAGCCAAAATTATAAAGTGTGGGTTTTCAAAAATTATACATTGGCGTCTTTTCCCCAGTACTAAGAGTTGCCATGTCTTTCCTCCATGGGAAGCTGAGGACCCTAAAATGACTAACACCTACCCAGGGATGCTGGCAGATGTGACTTTCAGATGGTGGTGTGGAGAATGAACTCTGAGGCTTGTTGCTCACCCCACTTCAGCAGGGCTGCTAGAACTCTTACCTTGGTCTGGAAGAAGTCAGAGTAGACAGTCACAGTGTAGAACCACACAGGATCCATGCTGCCTGGAGCTAGAGGTCTGGCTGAATGATCTTCTGAGGACTGAGTCTGTGATTCTTTGCTCTTTTTTCTTCAATAACGGAGTTAATATATTAAGTTTTTCTTTTCAGGATTACTGCTATATTGTTATAATCAATCATTTTTTGTTGTTACAATCATCACATTTTTTTTTTTTTTCCATTTCTATTGCAGGTCCTCATTTTGCAGCAGTAAATAGCAATAATGAAATTATTGTTACAGATTTCCATAACCATTCTGTCAAGGTACTATAAATATAAAAGTTGTTGTTAACTTTTAACTGCTTTTATTTAAAAATAGGTCTAGGGGAAAATAATAATACACACACACTAAAGGAATTAACCTAAAAGAGTAGATTTTGCCTCTGCTTAAAGACACTCGTTTTAATTTGGACATACAGATTTTGGAGATTAATGAACTGAGCAAAACATAGTGGCAATAAGTTTTTTAATTTGAAACTGGTGTAAATGGAGATGACTTGAAAATTAAATTAAAAAAACAATTATTTAAACTTAGAAGCAATTTTAAAGCTTAAATTGTATGGCTACTTAATAAAACAAAATAACTTTAAAAATTTCTTGCATTATAAGGTCTTTCGAACAAAATTAGATATTGGAACCCTGTTACGATAACAGGTTTGGGCGGGGGGCAGATATTAGCCCTAACTTGCATTCATGTAGTATAGTATAGTTCATACTTTTTATAATGCATTCACAAACTTGGTATTATTTAGACAATGACCTCCTGCTGTCCACCCCTGCCAATAGGGAGAGAAAGATTTGACCTTTATTAGGAGCAAATCAGGAAATAATAAAGTGCATCAAAACAAATTTCTCATTTACTAAAACCAGAATATATTTAGTAATATTCTGGACCAAGGCCCCAGAAGGCATGGTGCTCCCGTCTGAGGCTGTCCCCTCCTGCACATCCTCTCCAGAGTTGCAGCCATAGTGGTAGAACTCCACCTTCGCCCGCCCCTCCATGGAGATAAGCTGCATTCTCTGCCACCACCACTCTCTGTGGGAGGTGTCCTGGTAAAAGGAAGAGGACAGTGGGGAAAGTCTGGATGGATGGCGGCAGAGGGAAACAGCAAAGAGGCAGCAGGACTGGGCTTTGTGACTGTTCTTCCCGGGGGCTGTCACAGTCCTGTATGATGAGCATAATTATCAAAGGACAATACTGGCTGTTATCATACTTTCTGCCTTCACTCGTTTGATAGAGGAACCATGCATTTAACTATAGGGCATTCAACAAGAGGAAAACTCATATAGATCCTGACAGTGCAAAGGCCAGCAAATGCCTGATAAAGATACTGCCCTCCCTCCACACCCCAGAAGATAGCAATAATTAGTCAAGTTACTGTTTCTTACTAAGTACAACTGTGGCCTCAGAGCCTTTCCCTTCCCAGTATTCCAGGCAGCCTTTATGACTCAACTGAGATTTACCAGCCCTGGCTGATACTGTAGAAGGAAATAAAACATATGTAAGTAACCAAAAATGCAGGGCAGGTAGCAAATAAACTGTTTCTTAAAAACAGGTACATACAAAGTTCTATAAGTGTCCAAAAGAAAAGAAAATATTCTCATAGCAAAGAATACCAGGGAAGACTTCCAAATGGAGGTGGTATTTGACATAAGTAGAATTTTGAAATCAGAGAAGGGTTTTCATCAAGGTTATTAAAAACTTGGCTATAAAAACCTGTTCTAAACAGCAAAGCTATAAAAACTATTTCAGCTGATAAACTTCTCCCTCTTAGTATGTTTTCATCTGAATAATTTATAAGCAATTTAGTGACGTTTTAGATGAGGAAAATTGAAAATATGGGAAGTTTTTAATTCTTAAAATTCTAAAAACACTTCAGTTTTCATTACAGCAGGTCATTTTAGTTATCTATTTGAACTCGATTTTCCTTGTTTTCTTATTTCAGAAAACCACAGTCTTTTTTGTTTTTGCTCTTCTGTTTGACAGCTGTTGCCAAGTAGCTTTTATGGAATACTCAGGCTTTTGTGTCCCGTGCAAACAGTGCAATGAGCAGTAGTTCTGGAACTACTAGAAGGCAACTTCTCTTTGCAAACATGAAAACTGTACCTATGGGCCAGGGCTAACATGTGGTCTAGTTAGTTCTTTAGCCACCTTCAGCATATATTTTCTTTTCATCACAAAACAAGCAAGACTACATTTGACATTCTCCATAATTCCTAAGTGAAGCAGAAACACTTGAGCCATTTAGATTATGCCAAGGAAAACATACTGACTCAGAGAGAAAAACACCAACAAGTAAACAAGAAAAATTATTTGTAGGACTTACTAAGGGAAAGATCAGAGAGTAACAAATCGTGTCCTGACCAACACAAATCCACTAGAATGTTTTATGTAAAAGGGTTAAAAAGAGTCAGGGAAGATTTTTAAAATATGACACCATAGTAAAATCTGGTTGTTATTGCATCTGTCCATCCTAAAGAACCGGAAAGGAAACTTGCTTACTTGGCAGTTAATTATGTAATTAATTCAGGAAGAGTCCATGACTCTGTTTCTTCTTTGTCTTAAGGTAATTTTAGCCTTAGAGAGGGGGATGTTCCACTTTCCTGATGTACTTAATGAAAAGAAATAGAGTCATTTTAGTCTTTTATGATCACAGAGATGGCAGTAGGAAAACTAAAAGGTGCTGAAATCATCCTCAATTTAGGCCTTTGCTCAGACTGAGTGAATATGTTTACATTCTACATCTGAGGAACCCTTGAGTCAAAGTCGCCTGACAGCAGTGGGTTTGGTTTTTACTGTCAAAGTGCCTTGTTCATAATACTTTTTGATTTGTTAAGGAGTATTTCTAATGACTAGTCTACCTGATAATAGAGGTTTAAAATAATGACCTAGAGACATTTCAATACCATTAAGTATTATCTACCCTAGTGGTGCAGTGGTTAAGTGCTCGGCTGCGAACCGAAAGATCAGCGGTTCCAACCCACCAGCCGCTTCTGCAGGAGATGTGGCAGCCTGCTTCTGTAAACATTTACAGCCTTGGAAACCCTACAGGGCAGTTCTACTCTGTCGTACAGAGTCGCTGTGAGGCAGAATCAACTCGACGGCAGTGGGTTTTGGTTTTAAGTATTATCTGAGTCATCAAAATAAAATTATGCTTACTATATTGTTTGCAAACAGGTACATATTTGCAAACAATATAGTTAGCATAATTGTATTACAATTACAATTTTCTCAAAATCAGTAATCTGAATTTGGTACATAGAGAGTAACACTCTATTGATGAGAATATTTAATTAACCACAACAGCCCATTTCTTGACCATATTAGATACTAGAGAATTTACATAAGTGTAAATCTCAGTAGATTCTATTCATCAAAGCCTTAAGCTCATCTAAACCCTCTATTTTAACTAAAAATAACTTGTGAGGGTAAATAAAAAAGCCCTTTTCTTGTTCCTTACTCGCTTTCATCATACACACACACACTCACATACACACGTATTCACTCACAAACACACATTCATATACACACACACTCACACTCACACATACTAAATGAACTGCCCCTGTTAAACAAGTGTGAAGTCCAGCCTATTTCTTGTTATGCTGACTTAGTAAAATGGTAATAAATTCTGAGCATCTGGCCTAAAAAAAACTCCTACTCTTTGACCCAACTTTGAGTTATCATCCATCCTGTTAAAAACACAGTTGCCTCTTCTTGAAATTTGGCTGTTTATTTAAAGGCGGAAAGAATAGTATTGTTGAAAATTATAGCTGTACTTACTCATAATACCTTATATTTGTATAGTATTTTATTGTTTATAAAAAAGTATTTTTAACACAAATTATTTAATGACCAGGTATAAGCTAAAAAAAAAAAAAAAAAGGTTGTGGTTTAACAAGTGAAAATCAGATTTATACATAAACTGTGCAGCCACAGGTGATATGGGTGGTACAGGGGTCTAGTTTTTTTGTTTTATATTTAGAATATCTTAAATCATAGGTCTTGTTATAAATATCCTGCTCAGATTTTTTTAAACATCTATAATGTTGGTTTAATAATTTTAATTTAAACAATAATTTTTAATTATTTCATTCAGGTATTTAACCAGGAAGGAGAGTTCATATTGAAGTTTGGCTCAAATGGAGAAGGAAATGGGCAGTTTAATGCTCCAACAGGTGTAGCGGTGGATTCAAATGGAAACATCATTGTGGCAGACTGGGGAAACAGCAGGATCCAGGTAGACTAAAATGCTAATTAATTTGTTTAGAATGGTTGGTACTTATTAAAAGTGAAGAATTGCCTTCTCCTAAACTGGAAGATTTTCCATTCATCATTAGTCAGGTCATAAGACACTAGTTAATCATACTAAAACCAAAAACCAAACCCGTTGCTGTTGACTTGATTCCGACTCATAGCGACTCTTTAGGAGAGTAGAACTGCCCCATAGGGTTTCCAGGGAGTGGCTGGTGGATTTGAACTGCCGACCTTTTGGTTAGCAGCCAAGCTCTTAACCACTGTGCCACCAGGGCTCCTGTAATCATACCAGAAAGACCAAACTAAGGAAAGTAGAGAAGCAGAAAAAGTGCAACATGCTATGAGTCATAACTGACTTCATGGCAACGAGTTTGGGTTTTTTTGGGGGTTTTTTTTTGGGTTTTTTTGCATTATCAGAGTGAAATCCTCTAAATCAGGGTTTCGTAACCTGGATTATACATACCTAAAGGGGCCTGTGGGTAAAATTAAAGAGGCCCATGAACATTACATTATTATTTTCACTAACTTCTAACTAAAAATTATCATTTCCCTCAATTATGAATATAGATAATAATCACCGTAGTTTTAGCAATAACTACGACTTTGTCACCAAAACAAGTCATAGATATTTTTATATTATAGTTGTTGCAGACATCTAGAGTTGTCATTTATGCTCACCATTACAAAAATTACAGCGGTTGTTAAACTCATCACTATTCCTTGTTATTTAATGTGTTAATAAAAAAGCACACATTACTGTATCAAAATTTTATAATATTTTGATAACTATATGTCAGTATAATTGTTTTCCTTTATAATTCCCTGTAGTTTGTTTTATGCCTTTATAAACATTCTGCTGAATTCATCCAAGGGTCAAAGAGGAAGTCCCAAGGGAAATTAAAAAAAAGCATTGGACTGAGTAAAAATGAATATATAGCACATCAAAATTTGTGGGATGCCACTAAAGTAGGGCTGAGAAGGAATTAACAGCACTAAATTGTTTACATTAAAAAAAAAAAAAAAGAGAAGTTTCAAATCCATAATCTAAGCTCCCACCTCAGGAAACTAGAAAGAGAAGAGCATAACAAGCCCAAAGCAGTCTGAAGGAAGAAAATAGTAAAGATATAACCAGAAATTAGTGAAATACAACGCAGAAGAACAGTAGCTATAATCAGTGAAACAAAACGTTGGTTTTTGAAAAGATCAATAAAATTGACAAACTTTGGCGGGAATGACAAAGACACAATTACTAATAGTAATGAAACAGACCATGAAGACATCAAAAGGATAAGGGAATTCTGTAAACAACTCCACACACAGATATTTGACAACTTAGATGATATTGACCTATTCCCCAAAAAGTGCAAACTCTACCACTCACCCAATCTAAAATAGATTGATTTGAATAGCCCTATTACTATTAAGGAGTCCCTGGGTGGTGCAAACAGTTAACACACTCAACTGCTAATCAAACAAAAGGTTGGAGATTCGAGTCTACCCAGAGGCATCTTGGAAAAAAGGCCTGGCAATCTACTTCTAAAAAGTCAGCCAATGAAAACCATATAGAGTTCTACTCTAATGCACATGGGGTCATCATGAAGTAGAGTCAACTCAACAGCAACTGTTTTTTATTACTATTAAAGACATTTAACCTGTAATTTAAAAAAACCAAAAACCAAACCCTCTGCCGTTAAGTTGATTCCAACTCATAGGGACCCTGTAGGGTTTCCAAGGCTGTAGATCTCTGTGGAAGCAGACTACCACATCTTTCTCGCATGGAGCCACTGGTGGATTCGAACTGTCAATCGCTTTAACCACTGCACCAAACTGTCCCAAAAGAAATCTCCAGACGCAAATGGTTTTGTTGAAGAATTCTACCAAATATTTAAAGAATTAGCACCAAGTCTATACCATCTCTTCCAGAAAATAGGAAAGATGGGAACACTTCCCAACTCAGCTTATGAAGCCAATATTGTCCTGATACCAAAGCAAGACAAAAATGGTACAAAAAAGAAAATCACAGACGAATATTCCTTATGAATATAGATGTAAATTTCTTAACAAAATATTAGCAGATAGAATCCAGCAATATTTATAAAGAATCATACACCATGACCAAGTGGTGTTTATTCCAGGAATACAAGGCTGTTTCATATTTCAAAATCCATGTAACTCACCATATTAAAAGGCTAACAAAGAAAAATAAACACATGAAAAGACGTTGAACATCACTAGACATTCGCCAAAACCAAACCCGATGCCAGTGAGTCGATTCTGACTCACAGCAACCCTCCAGGATTGAGCAGAACTGTCCCACAGGGTTTCCAAGGCTATAAATCTTTATGGAAGCAGACTGCCACACCTTTCTCCCGTGGAGTGGCTGTTGGGTTCGAACCACTGACCTTTTGGTTAGCAGCCAAGTGCTTAACCACTGCACTACCAGGGCTCATTCACTAGACATTAGGGAAATGCAAATTAACACAATGAGATATCACTGCATATTTATTAGAATAGCTAAAATAAAAAAACAGTGATAATTCCAAATGCTGGCAAAGACGGGAAGAAACTAGATCTCTCATTCGTTGCTGGTGGAAATGTAAAATAGTACAATAAGTCTGGAAAATAGTTCAGCAGTTTCTTAAAAACTAAACATATACCTGCCATACAATCCAGCAGTTCCACTCTTGGGCATTTATCCCAGAGAAATGAAAACTTATGTCTACACAAAAACCTGTACATCATTGTTGACGGTTTGCATTCAGTGTGTCTGCCCGGCCAACGAAGATTAGCTGCTTAACTCTGATCTAGGCATCTCCTTCGCAGAAAAAGAATTTAGACTATAAATGTAACATAAGATACTTTTATTTCTTCAATATATTTATCTTGCTTAATTACCCCAATAAATGCCTACATTTAAAAGAAGCATTCTGTATCTGATGAGAAGTATGTTAGACTAGTGGTCAAAATTCAAAGAGCCTACATTTCTGTAGAAGCCAGGCAGGGAATAAAATTCATGAAGCAGTTCTGTGTAGGACCACAGATGCTAAGCTTTTTGTATCGTGACCTTGGCATAGCACCTGCCTAATTACACGACCTTTTAAAACACCGTGCAGGCCAAACAAAATGATCAAAAGAAACCAGCCTGGGTGTTGTGAAGTAGAAGTTTAAAAGCCTGGATTTATTCCTTTAAGTACTCGGCTGCTAACCAAAAGGTTGGTAGTTGGAACCCACCAGCTGCTCCAAGGGAGAAACGTGTGGCAGTCTGCTTCTGTAAAGATTACAGCCTTGGAAACCCCATGGGGCAGTTCTGCACTGTCCTATTGGGTCACTATGAATTGGAATCGACTCAGTAGCAGTGGGTTTGGTTTTGGGTTAATAGAAGCTTACATGCCAAAGGAAGACAACTTCATATCCAAATGTGCATCTTAAACCATTGACTTCTTACAATTCACGCTCTTCTGGAAAGAGAGAGAAAAGAAAATCCCTATGTTTTCATTGTATGTTATGATTCAGAACCACTCTTCTGTGGTGTCGTTGCTGATTTTTCACTCTTGTGATTGGGGATGAAAGGGGCATGTTAGGATGGAAGGGGAGAAGTGAAGGCTTATCGTGAGAAATAAGGGTTATTCATTTTTCAACCACCATCAAGGGCCGTTCCCACTAAACACTTGTTATGACCACTGTAAGAACATAAACGAGATCTGGCAGCCAATGGCATGTTCTATGTCAATGACTTTGGGACATAGAGGAAGAGGAGAAAAAACAAGGTAAGTGGAGGGAAGATTTTGTATATAATAGAGACCTAAACAGACCTTGCAGGGTGCATACATGCTTTTATATTAAAAGCATCAGCATCAAAGGTCCCTGGGTGGTGCAAATGCTTTGCACTCGACTGGTGACCAAAAGGTTGCCAGTTAGAATCCACCCAGCATCACTGCAGAAGAAGCAGGCTTGGTGATCTGCTTGTGTAAAGATTACAGCTAAGAAAACCCTATGGAGCAGTTCTACTCTGTAACACACGAGGTCTCTCCAAAGTCACAAGCCAACAACAAAAAATCAACAGCAAACCAACAACAAAAAACATTAGCATCAATAGGTTTTCTAACCTGTGTTTTGGCGTATTTATCTTTTCCCATAACACTCTGACTTTATATATTTTACAGGTTTTTGATGGAAGCGGATCCTTTTTGTCCTACATTAACACATCTGCTGACCCACTCTACGGCCCCCAGGGCCTGGCCCTAACTTCAGATGGCCATGTTGTGGTTGCAGACTCTGGAAATCATTGTTTCAAGGTCTATCGATACTTACAGTAACGGTGGGCAGCTAGGCACCCCCTTGCAAAGATCTTGCACTATAAACTGGAATGGATTTCTCAATGTAGGACCAGGTTATGACTAGATTTTTTGTGCTCGAAGGAATCATTGGTGAACTTGCCAAGGTTGTGTCTGAATGTAACAATTTCCTTAAGACTGCATATCTGATTTCCATAATTCATGTTTAGGGTTAAAAGACAAAACAAAAAAACTCTTCTACTGAATCTATAAAAACTGCAAAGTTTTACACCTGTGAACTATGGCTTATAGAACAGGGATTTATGTAGTTAAACTAATTTTTCAAATCAAACAAACATTTTAAAAAACTAGAATATTTAAAGGTATTTGTTAATCCTGTGAATGGTAGTTTTAGCTCAGAGTTTCCAAAAAAACAAAACAAGAACAAAATCTGTTGTAGTTATACACTTTATTTAACCTAGGTCACAAGACCCGGGGAATCTTCTAACCTCACTTTCACAGTAGGTATTACTCTCGTGACTTTTTTTTGGCCATTGGTAACTATATATAAATTACTTTAAGAAAAAAATAAGGCTGTCTTGCAAAATTCTCCCAACTCTGATTGGCAGGCCTTGCGTTTAGCACCTGAGAATCAATGCAAACTTCCCAGCTTTTCTGGGTTAGATCAAAGATCCTTTTTGTGCATTCTTTTCTTCTCTTTTGTGCTCACCTTGCATCAGAAAACAAAGTACATTTTCAGGGAGAGCTGAAATTCCTAATGCTTTGAAAAGTTATTAGAAGAGTCATGCTACCTTCTGGTAAACAAACGGCCCCATGAACTCCAGGTTAACGCACTGGAATGTAATCAAGAAAAGGTTAGTCACGTTGTAGGTGCCGTGTTCTCACGTGTCTCTCCTTTTCCACTTCGTGAAAGCGAAAGCTTTACCTTCTGCAAAATTTCAGAACATGTAGTAGGACACCAGTGTCCTAGGACAGAGAGCCATAAGTAGCGCTTTGGAGGACTGATGGTGTCAACCAAAGGCATGTGAGTGATTAATGGCTTCCCGTTAGAAAGCAAATGTTACCAAAGTTGTGTTTTCTCAAAAGCATTACAGGTAAGGGCATGTTAATGGTTATTGATCATTGTCTAATGAGTAGTAGAGGTGTTACGGGACTATGTATACATGATTAGGGTAAGGTAGAATGTATCATATATATAAATAAATATATAGCTGAATCTTTGGTGTATTGAAATAGGCAGCACTCTGAAAGACAGACAGATGTTGTCCAGCCCCTCCAGCACATTCCTTGACGGTGCGTTGTCAAGCCGTCCTAGCAAAGCCAGCCCTAAAGCAGATTCGTTCTTGCCATTTTCCAGCAATGGTGGTGGTGGCTGACTTAGTCAGAAAAAGACCTGTGCTTTTAAAAAAAAAAGATGTCAAAAGAAAATGAAAGTTCAACTTAAGTTATGTTTAATTTAAAATTTAATTTGAAGTAAGTCTGAATGCATTTTGAGAATAGTCAATAGTTAATGTGTCATTTATACTGTAAATTAAGATGCAGTCTACTTCCAGTGTTCAATTTTCTACTCAGTTCTACCAAATAGGATGTCATGTTTGGCATTCTTGATAATATGACTTTGGGATCTTTTTCACTGAAAGCACCTTAGAACTGTACTACAAGAAAACATTTCCCATTTGTATAATTATATGAATGTGATGTTTATTATTTATTAATTTATAATTCAGTCATTCTGTTACTGTAAAATTTTTAAATTTTTAAAAGGAAAATCTAGCTACTTCCAATTGTTTATTAAATCTACTATGCCCAAATCAACCTCTGAAAAAAAATTTTTTTCAGGAAGATTTACTTTTAGGTTTAGTATTTTTTTTGGTGAGAGTTTGAAAAATATTTGAGCCTATGATAAAGTTCTAAAATTCAATAGCATTTTTAGAATGTTAAACTAAGACACTGTTTCCAAACATCAGTGAAATGAGCCTATGAATTCAAACATTCCTATTTCCTGAGTGCTGACTAGGTGCCAGGCACTGTTCTAGGCACTGGGGATATAGTGACGGATACAACAGACAAAAATTCCTGCCCTCTTGGAGCCTACATTCTGGGGAGGACATTTCGTTTTGCCTTTTCCTAACATTCTGCATAGAGCATAGGCTAGACTCTTGATGGTTCTTACACTGTTTAGGAGAAAACTTGTAAAATTGGTTAAATTAATTTTAGTTTATTTTAACAAGTAAAAATGGCTTCCTATTTACATTCTAAGGAGCCCTGGTGGCGCAGCAGTCAGAGGTTCAAACCCACCAGCCACTCTGCAGGAGAAAGATGTGGCAGTCTACTTCCGTAAAGATTACAGCCTTGGAAACCCTGTGGGGCAGTTCTCCTCTGTCCTGTAGAGCCAGTATGAGTCAGAAGAGACTTGACAGCAGTGGGTTTGGGATTTAGATTCTGTCACAGGGTATTGATCTTAAGACTAGTTTATTTACATTTTTTTGCACAACATTTAAATTGTATTTGTGAACTTAGAAGTGAACTTATAAACTAACCAGCCATCATTATCATATCAGGCTGGACATCTCAATAGTAGATCAGATACAAAATTAATTTTTTACATGTCAATATTGGGACAAACTGGAATGAAAGAATACTTTGATTCAGACCTGTTGCACCATCTGTTGCTAATACACATGCTTATGGACACTCCAGCAAACACAATATTTTTCTCCAAAAAAAAATTTTAATCATACATGTTGAAGTATAGATTAACATTTCATACTTGGATACATATTTGCATTTATTCTATTTCTTGTTAAGGATATTTTAGGGGGAAACGTGCTGCTGATAAGATACAAAGAGACAAGATTGAAATGAAATTTTGTCACATCCTATTGAAAATGGTTTCTGGTAAACTGAGAAGGATATTAAAAGGAGTAGCTTTTTTCTGGGCTACCATTATTGTTAGATTCCTCTTTGTCAAATGTACAGAACCTGTTACACATTCATGATAAGTAGCACTGAAATATTTCTCATTCAGATTTCCCCCTGGGCACTTACGGCAAAATACTGCCAGTTAGAATTTAAAGGTCAGTGACGATGACTTTCCTCCCAATACAGAGCTCCCCTGCTGGACATGGGGACATGGGCCATAGGGAGTCACTTGACTGACCATCCAGAAACGCATGAATAATAATCCTTTATGTAGTGTTTGTTTTTCGTTTTTTTTTTTTAAGTAGTACTTGGCATTTTAATCAAACTTTAGTCTCCAGTAACTATACAAACCCCGAAGTTTCCTTATTTTAATTTACTCTTCGATTAACCAAGATTTGAGGCAAACAAGTACTGCAGATCCATGCAACTAGAACACACTTGCTTCTGCTAGTAAGTATACAGGGTATGTCTTAACTCAGAGTTAACTGGAATAGCAGTATAATAGCAAGTATCCGTGGATCCTTAACATTCAAGGGTTAACATAAATGCTTCTGGTAATACCTACTGAGTTAATTGGAAGAAATATCAAATAAACATCAGGTAATCTGCAGATTACTTCAAATGGGAAAAATCTTTTTGTACGTTTGGACTCTGTAGTATCCTTTCTATTTGCCAGCTTCTGCAAAGAGAGAAGTATTTTAGTTTAATAATTTAAAAAGAAGACACTTCCAGGTTGGGTAAAATTGCAGCTATTTGATGCAAACATTATCTAATTTTGCTTAAAAATGAAAGTTGTAATACTGTTGCATTCTGTAAATGTTGCAGGGTTTTAAACTTTACAATTATTTTAATATTTTTGATAACTAAGAATCTAGTATTGCCATAAAGGAAACTAAGTGCCCATTAAAGATCTGTTTGTTACAAAGAAATAATTTTTTTGTTTTGTTTTAAATGACAGTAAGCTACAAATCATGATGTTAATCTTAAAAACTTTCTGAAGATGAACCGTGTGGCAGTGATTGTGTGGTCTGTTTGTGGAGAATGTATGAAAGTTATTAATATTTTAGTATAGATTAATAAATTGGCTATGTTGTTCCAATGAATGTACAGCACTTCCATTAACTTTTGAAAGCAACACAGCCTTAATCTAAATGCTTTTGCTTTATGACACAGGAATGTTCTGTCATCCGCAGAGTGTATTCTTGTAGTAGAATCCTTTTATCATTCTCAATTCTATAGCCTTTCGCCCCTGTGTATGAAGGCTTTTTGCTTCCCTTTTTTTTTTTAAATTTTGTACATTCCATCTTTATAGGTCTGTTTCATACGTCTGTGTATAGAACACTGTCTTGCGCTCTTTGACATTGGTTCTGATATATTCTTTTCATTTGTTCTTTTATGACTCAAAATGCTGACTGTCTATTTAAAGAAAAGAATGAACTCTGTGCATCAAAGTGTTTGTACGTTCGTAGCTACGTATGTACCACAGTATTTTGGATGCTTTAGTCTACAATAAAATTTTAAATTAATTGTCTTGAAAGATAGGAGAAACAAGATTCATATGCTATCGTTACCATGCACAGAATCGCAAATCATTATAATAAAGCTTGTTTTCTCCATTTTCAGGGTGAATGCTTATTTATTTTAATATATCGTTCTCTTTTTTAGTGAAGGAAAATGGAAGAATGTTCCAGAATATGTGGAAACGATCAATACCTCAACCAAACTGTGAACCAAACTGTTAAGACTAGTGAGAAAAAGCTTGGTAAAAATTTTTGTTGATTATGATGCTAATAATGTTAGCATTTAGGACTTATCTTTAACAAGGATTTGAAAAACTGGGACAGATGTACAGTATGTACATTTAGGTTATAAGCATAGATGAAAATCACTATCCTTTTAGTAAAGAATCACAAGGTAAAGAGACTTCCTGGCAGTTATGACAGACACATTTCTAGTGGGTGAAAGATGAGAGGGACCTGGCTACAAACATCGTCTTCAGGGCCCAGAATTTAATTATAATGAAATTCATTACAATAAAAATTTCCATATTACATCACTCTAATGGCCACCCTCAAATCGTCTAAAGATGAGGTTTGAACAGTCCACTGGAGGTGCAGTTGTAATGAAGCCTGATGGTAAACATGCAAAGAATAGGGTATCACTGTTTTCAAAGAAGTTTATTCTGACAGTCTTTCTTAAATTAGAAAGAAGTAGTTCTTAAACACTGATCTCTATTCACAATTGGAAAGTTGTCATTTTAATGCCTCTTATAGCAAGGCCACTATCTTCTCCAAAAGCTTTGAAAATAGATGAGGGCTGTAATCCCGAGTGGTTTATGGACTTGGTGCTCGTTCTCTGCTTCTCCCATGAAGGAATCTTGTCCCTCTTTATCATAAATATCATTGGCTCACACATTTGCATATAATCTTTTTTGCCTGATATATTTATAGCCTTTCTAAAAGGTTTTTTTATTAAGTCTCTTTATATTTTGCTGAGATGGAACGAACACTAAAATTTATCTTAATTAGAGATTAAATTTTAAATACCCTTTATGGACAATGGAGGGAAACAATAAAAATTTGTGTGTTGGCATGTTTTTTGTTTTGTTTTGTTTTGGGGGGGGGTTAAAAATGTCCAGAATAGATTAAAACTCTAGAAGAGACCACAGAAGTTAGTCTTAGAAGGAGAGATGAAACAACAGAAACTAGAAAAAGACTAAGCAAGCACACTGCTGAATAGCAGTTGTGGATATTAACATTTCTGAATCCTGTTTCCATTGTTAAAAAAAAAAAACACCAATTTTTTAAAGCGAGAATGTCGAGACTTTATCTTACATACTTGGGACACATTATCAGGAGGGACCAGTCCTTGGTGAAGACATCATGCTTGGTAAAGTAAAAGGTCAGCGAAAAAGAGGAAGACCCTCAACGAGATGGATTGACACAGTGGCTGCAACAATGGGCTCAAGCATAACAACGATTGTGAGCAAGGTGCAGGACTGGGCAGTGTTTCATTCTGATGCGCATAGGGTCGCTATGAGTCAGAGCTAACTCAACAGCACTTAATGACATTTCCATTGTTGTATTTTCTTTTAACCAAGCAGGCACTATTGCCATTGCAGTCTCCTAAGGAGTGTCAGAGTCAGAGAAAGAGTGGGGGCATTCCTGACATAAGCCACTTCTGTGTTTTAGTTCATTGTATCTCAGAATGTACTTTGGAACTCATTTCACATAAAGCCAGGTGTATCTTTTCCCAGAGCAGTCAAGGAGTTCAATTAAAGCTACAGCTTGTTGATGCCTAGGTTAGCAGATCCTACTGTGTTTTTCATTGTTACAGTCATTTAACAAATGTCTGACCACCTGTGGTACACTAGGCTTTTGACTAGGTATAAGGGATATAAGGATGAATAATAAAAGTGTACTTCCAAAGAGCTTACAGTCTGATTAGGGAAACATCTGGAAATTACAATACTGCGTACTGCTTTTCTGTTCATTCATTAGCAAACATTTATTGAGAGTCTAGTATGCTGAGGTACTCTTCCAGGCACTAGGAAATAGCAGTAAACAAAGTCCCGGTTCTTATGGAGCCTTATGCCACTGGGGTGAGTCAAGTACATATACACAGGGTTGGCTACACAATTTGTGGGCTCTGGTACAAAAAGAAAATCCAAGTCCCCTCATTCAAAAAGCAGGGAAAAATCTTTTCCTTTTGTCCTGTGGTCTCTTGCTCAATCTTGCGGTGTTTTTTATTTGCTATTTAAATGTCACACTCCCTCGGGTATGGGGATACTCACTGGGCAAGTGCAGACCCCCACAGGTGGCCAGTGCCCCACCCCGCAGCTCAGACCCTCCCCTTATACCAGGCCCCAGCCAGAGGTGGAAGTGGCAGGGGTTGCTGGGTGGAGCAGGAGAGGGGGCAGCTGAGAGCCTGTCCAGGGAGGCAGAGAGGTGGTGGGAGGCAGGACCTCCATGTGTAAGCCGAGGCTTCAAGACCCCTGGCGCATATTCCATTGTTCCATCAGACTTCACTTACCAAACACAAATTCAAAGATAAAACTATGAAGAATTTCAAGAACTGCAGAGCATCGAACCCCAAGTGCAGGGTTCCTTCTAAGCGCAGGTCCCTGTGTGATGGCCCTGGCCCATAAAGCCAGCTCTGTATATATAATAACAGGTGATGAGAAGGAAAATCAGCAGGGTAAAAGGACATACGTGGTGGGAAGTGCTCTTTCGGTGAGGGACATGTGCAATAAACTCTGCGAAGAGCTGCCTTTGCAGCTGGACTTTGGACTAGGTGTAAGGGGTATAAGGATGAATAATAAAGTGTACCCCCAAAGAGCTTAGTCTGGTTAGAGAAACTTATGGAAATTACAATACTGCAAAGAGGGAGTAAACTATCCAGATCCCCGGGGAAGGACATTCCAGACAGAACAGCAAGTGTCCAGGGCCTGAGATGGGAGCAGAGTGAGCTGGAGAGTGTGGTGGGTGGCATCAAAGAGGAAATGGGACTAGCTTAGTTAGGGCCATAGTCAGGAACTTGAATTTTATTCTGAGTGAAGGTGTTGAGAAGAGTGAGATGATCTAACTCAGGTTTTGAAAGGATCGCTCTGGCCGCTGTACGGGAAATAGACTCCAGGGGCAGGAATAGAACCAGGAATCCAGCTGGGAGGCTACTGCAATAATACAGGAGAAGGAAGATGGAGGCCTGGACCAGGATAGTAGCAGGCGAGGTGGTAAAAAGTGGCCAAATTCTGGAGATAGTCTGAAGGTAGAACCAATAGAATTTCCTGATGGACTGCAAGTATTGTGTGAGAAAGAAAAACAGGAGTCAAGAATACTTCAGGATTTTTGGCTTGAGACACTAGAATATGTATATTAGGAGGGAAGATGGAAGGACAGGTTTAAAGGAGAAAATAGTTTCTTTTTTGGACATGTTAAGTCTGAAATATCCATTTGACATTTAAGATAAAATATTGGATAGACAGTTGGATATGAGTATGAGATTCAAGTCTGTTCTGAAGTTGTCAGTTTATAGATTATGTCTAATACCCTGAGACTGGTTAAAATTATCTAGAAAGTGTCGATGGAAAAGAGAGTCAAGGCCTGTCTGTGTGATAAGTGCTACAGTCTAGAGCATCACTGTCCAAAAGAAATGTAAAGTGAACCATATATATAATTTTAGATTTTCTATTAGCCATATTAAAGTAACACCAAAAGAAACAGGTGAAATACAGCAATGTATTTTTTTTAATCCAGTGTATCCGAAATATTTCAATATGTAATCAGTACTTAAGTTATTAGTGAAATGTTTTATATTCTTTTTTCATATTAAATCTCCAAAAATCTAGTGGATATTTTACATTTACAGCACGTCTCAGTTTAGACTAATCACATTTCAAGTCTTAATAGCCACTTGTAGCTAGTGGCTACCATACTGGATCGTACAGCTCTAGAGCATGCACGGGGCCTAACCCAACCTTAGGAGGTCAGAGAGGGTTTCAAGGAGCAGATTATGTCTGAACAAAGCTCCAAAGGACAAGTAAGAATTAGCCAGGACAAAGGTAAATGTGAGGCCCAAGGCCAATTAGGGTGAAAGAGGACAAGAGAGCATGGGTTGTCCAGGAAAGAACAAGTAGTTCAGCAGGTGGGACCATATAATACTCAAGAAGAAATGGTGAGAGATGAGGCCGGGTTGCAAAGAGTAAGTTACTTTGCCTCCTCCCAAGGGATTTGCATCCCAGATAAAACAAAAGAGCATCAGTAACTAAAATACAGAGTAAATTAGAAGAGTCCTAAGAGTTAATAAAAAACCCAAAAACCAAGCCCATTGCCATCAATCTGATTCTGACTCATAGCAACCCTATAGGACAGAGTAGAACTGCCCCATAGGGTTTCCAAGGAGAAGCTGGTGGATTCGAACTACTGACCTTTTGGTTAGCAGCTAAGAGGAGTTAATAAAGTACTATGGAAATTCCAAATTATCACAGAATTGTTGAGGACAATCTCACTTTATGCCTCTTGTCCCAGTGTCATTATAAATAGCAGCTACTTCATTCTCAGAAGTGTCCCAGTTTGGAAGATAAATTATATACTCACTGTACACCAGTGTTTCTCAACCTTTATCATCCCTGTGAGGAGCTTTTTATGCTTTTTTTTTCCTAATTGGTTCCTTTCCTCTCTTGGGCTAGGTTTTCTAGAGAAGCAAAACCAGTGAAGCTTATATATATATCTAGAGAGAGAGAGAGATTTATCTCAAGGAAATTGCTCATGTGGTTGTAGAGGCTGGCAAGTCCCAAATCCATGGGTCAGGTATCAGGCTGGAGGCTTCTCCTGACTCACATAGCTGCAGGGGCTGATGAACCCAAGATCGGCAGATCAGACAGCAGGCTGCTGGTTCGCAGGCTGCTGAAGTTGATGAATCCCAAAATCGGTAGGTAAGCTTGCTAGCTCAAGTCCCAGTAGCCGGAGGTCAGATGATGATGAGCTGGATTTAGGGTCCAGAGCAAGCAAAAGCCAGCAAGCTTTGCCAGAATGCTCATATATATGGGGTGCAGGCCACATATTCTAGGAGACGCCACTTACAACTGATTAGCTGATCACATCAGATCACATCATGG